ACTTCCTTATTAGCAAACAATTTTACATCAAAACATTGCAAAAGGGTGCAAAACAGTGTCAAACAAGTCCAAACAGTGCAAAACAGTGCACTCCATAGTAAAGTCAATCTTAATATGTGTGAATTCAAATAAAAACTTAATTAAGAACCAGATGGAGTACAATATTAGACAAAAAACAAAACAAAATTTAGTTTTTTTTTTAGAAAACAAACAAAAATTAGATAATAACTGTAATTTTATGCTTTTTTTCTCATGGCTACTTCTCTTGTTGTCCATGTTTTGGTGTATCCTAAAACATCAGTTCATGTCACGAAGTTTTACCACAAAGTTTTGGTTTTTATTTATTTCATACACTACTCAAACATCCACTGCAAAAAAAAGTAATTAGCACCAATTTGACATAGATATTTAGCATAAATTCGCAAAACATTATAGGATATTTGACACAAAATTGGCACGGAGTCATGCCTAAATATGTTATGATCCATTGGAGACATTCTTTGTGCGAATTTTAACCACAAAGTTTTTCGTTTTTATTTATTTCATACACGACTCAAACATTCACTGCAAAAAAATGTAATTAGCATGAACTTGACATAGATCTAAAAGCTCATAAACATCAATGATGGTTAGGGCATTTTAGAAATGATAAAAATGTTGGTGTAAAACTAAAGCATGATGTAGTTGTACACTTTGTTCAAGCCATGGTACCATTCAATATTAACCTTTATTTATGCTTACCTCCGTTAAAATCTAACTATTCATCCCTTGAGTTCAATGTGTTCAGTTTTCTGCCGTTTAGTTACCTTGCCTTCCATTTAATGTTTTTGGTTTAATTACATTTTTAAATTCCTTCTCTTTTACCTTCTCTTTTGTGGATTAATTTTTAGCTAATGCGATCAGAATCGAAGGTCCGTACCCAGCAAGATTTCACATGGATTGTGCCTAACAACATAGTAGTTCGAAGGGTTTTTATTACAAATACGAAGTATGTTTTAATTCCTCCAAAGGGGTTTTGATTTCTTGACTGTCATGTGTTTGTAAGTTCTTAACCATACTCTAAATCATATGTGTATCACTCCATGTATGCTTACTTTGACCGTGACAATGTTGCTCTCAAGGGCCTGGCCAAAATTTTCAAAGAATCGAGTAAGGAAAAAAAGGGGGGAAGCTGAAAAGTTAAGGAAGTATCAGAACACCTAGGGAGGAAGAGTGAAGTTGCACTCAATTCTTATGCCACTTTCAAAGTTTAATCACGAGGAGAAGGGTGTGAATGCAATGGAATTTGCATTGTCACTAGAAAAGCTGGACAATGAGAAACTGTTGAAGCTCCATGCCGTGGCTGATAGGAATAATGATGTAAAAACTCAAGATTTTGTGGAGAGAGAGTTTCTGGAGGAGCAAGTTGAAGCTATCAAGAAAGTTGTTGATTATGTTACCCAATTAAGAATGGTTGGGAAAGGGCGTGGAGTGTGACATTTCGATCAGTTGCTCCTTAGTTAAGATCATTAATATTTAAAGAGAGGGTGGATTGAATTGAAAATGGTGTTTGAATGGATGGGGAGTGGGGGCATGCCAGGGGTGTTTAAATTATCATATGTTTTGTGTTAAAATCATACAAACTTGGATTTGTGTTATGTGTTGTACGTTGCTAGGCATAAAGTTGGTGAATGCTATCCCTGATGCTTTTAATCCAATGAACCCCTTTTTGTAAATGCTATCCCAAGATTTGAATGTGCTTAAAAAAAAAAGTAAAAAAGAAAAAACAATACGTGAGTTAGATTTAACCAAAAATGTATTGAAAGATAAGTCCTAACACATGTCTAACTTGCTCATATTTTAACTCACATTTCAATCAAGAGTGTTTTTTTCACCTGACTTATTTTTTTGACTAACTACATTTTTTTCTCAAAAACTTATCCTTTTTGGGACACCTTTTTCCTACCCTTTACTGCTCAAAATACCTCACTAGAGCCATGGAAAAAATTAGTGTATACAATCTATTCCATTAACCGTATTGTGTAAACTAAAAGAGAAAACAGACAAATAAGCCCTTGAACTATTTGCGTTTTTGTAATAAGGCCCCTGAACCAGAAGAATTACAAATACACCCCTCAACTCATTGAAAATCAAGCAATCAGGTCCTTTTTACCTGCCGGTGCATGTAAGGAGATGAGAAACTATTGACACCAGCGGTAAAAAAGGACCTTATTGCTTGATTTTTAATGAGTTGAGAGGTGTATTTGTAATTCTTCCGGTTCAAGGGCCTCATTGCAAAAACGCAAATAATTCGAGGGCTTATTTGCCTGATTTCTCCTAATAAAATTTGTGTGTGTATATCCGTCCAAAGCAATAATATCAGCAACAACATACCTAATGTTTGTATTGCTAATGTTTAGAATGCTTGAACACTTTACTGTTAGTTAATTGTTTTGAATAGTTAATGTAGAGTTAGGGTGAAGTATAATAAAGACTATAGATGCATTGGGTGAACTGATGCATGTGTTGATGAATGTAAGGTCTCTTAATAGATAGCATGGAGACGGTAGTAATGGAATAGGAGACTCAAAAACAATTATCTTTAATCATGTTGTTTGTCAATCTCCAAACTAGGTCTCCACAAAAAAATCCCTTTTTTGTTGTTCTTTGCTCAGTTTTATATTAATAATATATTTGATTATTATTTGCAAATTATCTATGCTATTTAGCAGTGAACACGTTTCTGGTAGGCTAACACAGTTTGCGTATGGATAGATGATGCATAGAAAAACCCGTGTCCAGTTAAAGGAAGAGTACTCTTATGTGAGTTCATAGTTTTTTATGAGTCACTTAAGAATTAGAACCACAAATTGGAAGACTCGCACGATAGTGAAGTTATGGAGCTAGAAAACGACCTTAATATTTAAAGTGCAGCCGTCACTTCGTTCATGGAGATTTATAATAACATATTACAGATATTCTTGGTTGCACTCTCATCCATAAATTTGATGGTATAATTATGAAGTTAGTTGAATGGAAGCACTCATATTGAATACTAAAAATAATATTTTGTAAATTGCTACTTCCTCTCGAACCAAAAAAATATTCATGTGGTACATAAGTAAATTTTATATTTCTCTTGATAATGTCCACTATACTCAGCGATTTATATCTCATATATAATCATGTGAGGGTCCTAGACTAGGGCAAATAAAAACTACCGATACTTTTAGAAATATTATGTATTTTCTCATATTTTTATGATTTTTCCTTATAAAACTAGGACATTAGGTCTAGCTCTTTCGCGGCTTTGCATATTTTTCTTTTGTTGTTGGGTTCTCTTTAAAAAATGTATTTTTGATTGCTATATAAATGTTAAGGTAACATGCCAAATAATAAAAGTAATCATCTAAAGATCACTATGCAATATTCACATTTTTCAAATGCGTTGGGCACTAACGCGATCGCGCATCACGCATGTGAAAACTAGTATTTAGCATAAATTCGCAAAACTTTATAGGGTATTTGGCACAGAATTGACACGGAGTCATGCCAAAATATGTTATAATCCATGGGAGACATTCTTTTATACGAGTACAAACATTACCTAATTTTGTCATAATGATACTATGAAATATTGAAATGTGTGAAATTTTAAAAGACGTGAAATCACACGTAGTACGGAGTAATAAGTACTCCCTCCGCCCCACTAACAATGAGACAAGAGGGAGTGACACGCAAATTAATAAAAAAGTTATGTATATGGTTGATATTGAATTGCTAAAGTAAGAATAAAGTAAGAACGAGTTAAAGCCACACAAACTTTACCTAATTTGGTTTGAGACAATCTTAGTGAGTCGGGCCGAAAAGATAAAATGGGACAATCTTAGCGGGGACAGAGAGAGTAGCACATACTACGTAGTATAGAGTATTAATCATTGTTTTTTTTTAAAAAATAATCATTACTCAATTCAGTTCAAAACCTTTTAATTTAAAATCGAACGATTTACAAATTGCCACTTTTTCATATCTTTGTCCAAACAAACCAACGTACCATTTCTCAATTTAGGGTGTGTTTAGAAGTGACTCTGCTTGTACTTCTTTTCTAAAGCAGAATCAGAATGAAAATCAATTTTCAGAAGCTGGTCTCCCTCAGCTTCTAAAAAAAACTGATTTTAGGAATAATTTATAGTACCAGAATCACTTCTGTACTTTCATCCAAACACTTCAACTTATGTTTCTGCTCCCTCAAAGAGCAGAAGTGGTTTTAAGAAGCAGATCCAAACACCCCCTAATTGGGTTTGAATGTTTGATTGAACCAAATCATTTTACCTAGGGGTGGGGAAAACTGAACCGAAGCCTAGAAACCGACCCTGGATCGACCCGAATTATGATCCTGGTCCGGGTTTTTTCTTTTTAACCGGCCGGAATTAAAACCAAATCCGGACCGAACCCGAAATTCCGGGCTCATAACGGGCCTTAAAATCTATAACCCGGCCTTGACCGATAAAAACCCGAAACAATTAGCTTTAATATAAAATTAAAATAATATATGAATATAAATTTATAAATATTTCCTAATATATGATTATAATCACGGTGGATAAAAAAATCATTTAGTAACTTTTAGTGACTACAAATATGTTCAATTTGTTTAGTGTAATGACCATGAAAATATATTTATAGCAACTCTAGTAACATTTTATATGCATCTTAAATAAAATATTAAGAAAATTATCTTCTTTGGATTTGAATTGTTGGTGATTTTGGAGACTAATATTTGTGTTATTATTTGCAGTTTGTATTTTTTATTAAATTTAATTGAAAATAGGTGTTAAAATATAAAAGAACAATGAGATAGTTCACGTTCGGGCTTTAACCCGCCCAACCCGAACCCGGCCAAAATCCGGGCTACCAAAACCCGACTTGGACCGAATATAATGGGCTTTGTTCCGGTCCTTAATTTTTCATAACCCGAAACTTTTCAGGTAATTTTATTCGCCTCGATCTTCTCGCCCTTCCGTCATCTCTTCCCTCCATTTCAAACCCCGTTTCAAAATCCTCAATTTTGACTCCCTGCCAATTAAGGTCTACCGTTTTTTCATTCTTCCGCCCGATTACAGCAGTGCGCGCAAATGATAAGAACTTCGCTTAGAGGCTGCTACGAGGATGGCACGAGCGGTGTCGTCGCCTCCGCAATCCTCGACGCCGGAGACTTCGAGCTCAAAGCCAACACCACCATTACCGACGGCCCATCCTTCGACGACCTCTCTGTCTCGGTAGAAAAGCCCGGTTCATTCTCCATCGACTACAGTATTCCGAAAAAGGTCAATGAATTTTTTATTTTTCTGACTTTGTTAGATTAGTATTTTTGTACTAACAGCTTGTATCGTACAGGATGTGCGATTTCAGTTTATGAATTCGGCTAGGGTTTTAGAGAAGCAGCTGAGTTTGACGTACTCGCACTGGCGGGGCGATAATCGAATGGAACTGGATGGGAAATTGATGATCGACTCTGCAAACGTGTTATCCGCTAATTACGAGCCTAATACTGGTAACTGCAAGGTGAAGTACAGCTATAACCATGGCGGACTAGTCACATTTGAGCCGAGCTATGATTTCGGTCAAAATTCTTGGGACATTTCCCTTTCCAGGAGAGTTTTTGATAATGATGTGGTTAGGGCTACCTATCAAAGTTCAAGCAAGGTTTTGGAGTTGGACTGGTGCAGCGTTACAAGTATGAGTGGAAGCTTTAAGGTATCCTTTCATCTTTGATGCGTTGATTGGCCATTGCAGAATACTTTTACCCATTCATATCTGTACTGAGGTAGTGTTTGTTATAACGGAATGCATTTGAGCTGATATGGTACCTGTCAATGCTCCCTTACCTTTTATTAAAAGTGGGAATGTGGACTCACATAAAAAGTGGATTAAATCCCATTTCACCACTCTCCTGAGAAAGTAACAAATGATTACTTACAGAGCTTTTCCTCCCTTGGGTGGGATTTTTAGAGGCTGATCCAACATTGAACCGAATACTAATAATATTCCATGAATATCGGAAAGAAGGGATAGTAGTGAAGTCCAAGAGATGAAGATGTTCTAAAATTGCTAGTAATCATGAGTCATGACCAATAGATGGTGTTAATTGTGAATGAGGGAAAATAAATATGATAACCTTACCTAGTAATTGTTTTTAATTGCGAAATAAACCACTACTACTGCAATCCATAGTAACCTTTAGGGCTTGTTTGGTTCTGGAATTTTAAACGTAATGGAATGGTGATATTAGTTGTTTAATCATTTGACATTTGGGTGCTGAAAGCCTGAAAATACATTCAAGACAAAAACCTATGGAGTATATACAAATACATGGGCTAAGTTATCATATATGGAGTAGTTATTTTTAGTATATAACTAAAATAGGGAATAGCGATAAATGAGTATAATGAAAATTAGTCCATCACCTCCTATCTGAAATCTCTAAACCAAACAATCCTTTAAGCTGCCAAGGGAGAACACTATGTTCGGATCTCCACCAGTAGCCAAATCCGGTGTCTGAGCATGGCCTATAATCAGTGTAGAAAATGCTTAACAGTACTGGAAGTGCTCATTTATATTGAAAAAAATTGTCTTTAATACTTCAATGTTTGTGTATGTAATTTCATGATTGTTAGAATCTCTCATCCGTTCTTTAAACATTTTTCTTAACAGGTCTCCGCATCTATTAACTTAGCTGATCAGTCAAAAGCCCCTACTCTCCGGGCTGAGAGCACCATAAATTTTGATGTGTAATTCATTGACCTCTTCGATGTAAACGATTATAATAGTTGTCAGTTCATGATATTATCTTTATGGTGTCTGTTTTTCCCAGAAGAACGCACCTGAAGTGACATCAACTCAATGATAAAGTGGAATTTCTTATCGTTGTCTTTCGTGATCATACTTAGAGTGACTTGCTAAGTCACTAGTCACTACTATTGTTTGGTTTGGCAGAGAAGTTTGGAGCAATGGCAGCTTCATAATTTAATCTAAGCTCGTCTCCGATCCAAACCACCAACTTATTTCATCTTACCACTACCAGTGTACGGAGTAATTTTTTGTAACACTAACCCAATGGTTAACTACTTCATCATGTAGTTTGACTTGGGTCTGTCAACTTCTTCACCATTATATTTTTCAGCTCCAAGGTGGTCTCAATGGTCAGTCACTCAGTTGCAATCTTCATTCTTCATTCAATTATACTCGGTCCAACTTTCATTGAATTTATGTCTATGTTCAGTTGTTCACCTTTTTATCAAATTATTGTATGACATGCAATCTTGTAAATTTCAAAAAAACAATATTTGTCCAAAAACTATATTTGTATTGACACATCATTGAGTTATAACTTAAACTTTTTCGAAAAGTAGAAAAGTTGATAGCCTGAATTGCAATATTAGATTTTTGTAAAGTTTTTTCTTCATTGTAAAAATTTGAAATGTACATTAGAATTTCTGATCAATAAAGATGAAAAACATTGTGTAGATATTAACATTCGTATGTGGCACGAGACTGCGAGTAATGTCCTGAACGATTAAGTTGAACTTGAACCAAATCTATATGGTAAATAGTGCATCGAGTAGCCCACAAACCCAACTACTTGAATATCGTGTACGCCTAAATACAACAACGCAAAGGCAGGCGATTCAATCCATTAAACAAATCTTACCGCCAATAACAAGGAAAACTTTCTTATTTTACATCACTATTCACTAATATTGCTCTCAATCCGAGTGTGTTTTGGATAAAGTTGCAAATTCAATTTATGATTTGTGTTTAATTGATTTGGATTTCTATAAATGTTAAAGTTCTTCTCGAGGTGTGATACTTTACAAAAAAAAAAACTATTGAGCACAACACTATCCAAGGCTCCAACTCTCCAAGCTATCGGCACAACAGAATTATCTGTAACTCAATAAAACCAAGAAAACATTTAATACAACCTATCAGTAAATTAAAGGCAGATATCATCAGTAAGTTGCACAAACCCATTGGGACCATAAACCAAACGGTTCAAGTAAGACAAAATGTAAATATCACATTCATCTGGCAGGACCTTTCAGAGAAGTAATATATCTGGTCAGCTTTCCCGGGTGTAAACCAGGCTGGATAAATGTAAGATGAATATTTCCTGATCAATTTCGTCTGCTGATATTCCGCAAATTGTAGACCCCAAGGATGGATTAGTTTGGGGGAGGTGGCGGCATTGACATTTGAGGATATGAATGGGGTCCACCACCAAGCTGCTGTGGAGGAGGTGGTGGTCGCCACATAGGAGGAGGCGCACCCATTCCCATAGGTGGTGGTGGGGGCCTGTTAAGCGGTGGAGCCATTTGAGGTGGCGGCGGTGGCGGTCCCATGTTTCCGAATTGCTGCATTTGGTGATGTTGAATCCCAGCCATGCCAGGTTGTGGTGCATGCTGACCCTGCTGCCATGACTGTGGTGGTGGTGGTGGGGCCATTTGCATTGGCTGATGGTACATATTGGGAGGCTGCATGTGAGGTGGAGGACGCATTGCCGGAATAGGTGGTGGAGGACGCATTGCCGGAGGAGGTGGGGCCACAACAGCACCATTAGCTTGTCCGGTTGGGGGGAGCGTTGGAGGTCCACTAGCAAAGAGGGTGTGGGGTCTATTCTTCTGGGTGGTGGGATTACTTGAAGCTAAAACTCTCTCTGGACAATTAAGAAGTTTACGAAGGTTGGAAAAATAGTTTAATGGATTAGACCATTAAGAACAAACCATTGTAGCACATCTTGTAGAAATTAAATGAATAAACTAACCTGCTGGTGTGCCGTGACGTTCTCCCTTTGTATCTTTCTTATAGGCATAAGAAACAGTGATCTGACGGTTGCAAAGATATTGGCCGGTCATTGACTATACAAAGCACATGACACAATTATTAATGATTTTTCATGCATCAACATAAATTTTCAGAATTCGATGTAAAATGGTCAGAATTTTAAAAAATACTCCCTCCGGTTTTTAATAAACTTCACACTCTCCTTTTTGGGACGGTCTAAAATAAACTTCACACTTCCTTATTTCCCTTTTTGGCAAAGAAATCTACATCAAAACAGTGCCAAACAGTGCCAAACAGTGTCTCTACAGTGCCAAACAGTGTCAAACAGTGCCTCAACAGTGTACTCTACAGTAAAGTCAGATTTCTTTCCTTATTTTGTGTGAAGTCAAACTGTGAAGATTATAAAAAACCGGAGGTAGTATAGAATTAAAATAAAAAAGAAGGCCCAAAGGGCCAGAGCGTTTTAGTAATAGAGTCCAAAGGAAGTAAACCATAACTAGAAAGTCAGAAAATCCTCTCTCCCATCCACAACTGTAAAAACTTATACTAATCGTTATCCTAGATTTGTATTGAATATTGATATTGATTTATGGGAGAAATGTTTGAATCATAGCTCGTGTTTTCTTTTGGAGGCAAAAGCAGGCTTTTTATATGATAATAATATGGTCAGTGCTCTATGCCTTTTAATGATAATAATATGGTCAGTGCTCTACTATCGGACATATCAGCGGACAAAACAATTACCTCAATGGCTGCATCAGATGCCTCAAATGAATCGTAGCTAATAAAACCAAAACCTCGAGAATTTCCAGTCTCAGGATCCCTCATTATCTGCAAAAAGCATCTAATATGTTACAAACCAACTAGAAGATCAATCTAAGATTAGAAGTATGAATAGACATGCTCTCTCAAGGGTAAGTAGCTTCTTTCTTAACAGAACCCCAAATTTATGCCTATCATGATGTGACGGGTCAAAACCATTCCTCACCCATATCTGAACTAGAAGGCAAAAAAAGTATTATGTAAAAAAAGGAGAAGAATGAGAGGTAAAGAACCTTCGGGTTTGAAACTATTACTCCAAAAGCACTGAATGTATCGTACAGAAGCTTCTCATCAACATCCTGCACACAGTAAAGGTGGAATTAATACATAACACTTTTCATCAATGACACAGATGGAAAACAGTCTTCCAACTATGAATTGATATACACTTAAATGAAAGATTGAACTCCTGAGTGCACATATATAAATAGGGTAGGTAAAGAAGTATCTAATGCTTAGGTGCTGACAGGATCAAGGTTCCCAACAAACAGGTTAGCACCAACGTCAACACTCTTCTTATCTTGTGAGGCCTACAACCAGAGGGAAAAAATAGATCATTGGAAAACAAATTTAATGCAAACTGTCAAGAATAAGGTAATACTTGATTTGAAAAATGAACAACAAAACTTTGTCATGTTATAGAAAAATTCATATAAGGAAGGGAATTCACACCTTATTAACTCGTATCGGTTTCCCATACAACTTGATCATATTTAACACCTTTATTGCCTGCATTATTCAATAAAGAAAGGGATCATACCATTGAAATTAAATTGAATAAATTGATGGAAAATAAGTTGCAAATAAATATGCCAAGAGCAGCTTGAACACTTACATAGTCAGCATCTTCTTCACTTCGAAACTCCGCAAAGCCATATCCTTGATGAGCATTAGTGACCCTATCCTTGGGGACATATACATTAACTGCAATTAATATAAAACCAAGTTAATGGAAAACAACCAATTATTGAAGTGCTAAAAAGCTTATATTACTATTGTCCAGGTGTGTATTTATTCAAGCATACCAACTGGACCAGCTTGAACAAACAGCTCCCATAATAATTCTTCTGAAACCTGCAAGCAAAAGAAACGATAATATTTAGAACCCGTTTGGTAGCACGAAAATCGGCTGTTTTGACTGATTCTGCTGAAATTTATGAAGTTCTGGCTGAAGTGGCTGCATTGTCTGACTCTGCTGATTTAAGAAAAAAATATTTTAAAAATATATTTTATTAATAAAATAAAGAAAAAATTATATGTACAAATAGTTAAAATAGTCATCTACAGTAACTTCAGCCAATACAGCCAGAAAAGTAACTTCAACCTTACTTTTTCTGCTTATTACACAATTCAGCGCGCGAAAGCAAAAATTACGTGTTTGGTGAAAAAGCTGGCTGATAAGCCTGATAAGCCAAAAAACTGGGTTGCCAAACGGGCTCTTATTGTATGTAGCTTTCGACCAGTAATAAGCAATGACAGAAATATGAAATTGAAGAAAGGATAATAAAAGTAGCTAAGATCTTCAGATTATGTTCTTCCTCTGAAATTGTGAAGGTACTGTCCATTGGCAAGTTTTATAATAGATCCTAACACCGCCGGAAACCAGGATATTTAACATTCAAAAGTTGATTAAGGCCGCAATATTATAGTTAAACCACATAATCTCTAAAGGTCACTATTAAGAAGCTCACACTAGAATATTTATATGTGTAATACAGACAACAAAAAGGGAAACACAAATGTTTGAAAGATTGCCTTTAAAAAACTAAAGCAAATTTAGTATTCTAACCTCCTTGAATCTGACTACTTTATTCTACTAAGTAATAGATTGATACTAAAAAATTCCTCAGCTAAAGCCACATGGGAAATGAAAGTCTACACAATACCTAGTATGTACTTCGCTCAGGTAAACCTCAACACTAAAATGACAACTGCGAATGGTATGGGCAAAGTTATCGCCTTGATATCCACAGCAATGTATAAACTGCTATATTAAATAAAATCAAGCCTTTTGAAATCTTAACGTATCATGTAAGAACTTTAAGTCTCTGAAGAAACAATTTCAATATTCAATGCTACAAGTATTGTAGTTACAGTACAAATGAAGAAGTGTGATAACCCTGGGGAATTATAAGGTCCTATTAAAGTATAACTTTGATAGGCAATACTCAATTTGCATACTAGAGTGTGAGGAAAAGCGAAACCCTAAATTATAGTAAACCTGAGGATCAAGATTGCCGACGTAGGCGGTGGCGTCTTGGTTTCGCTCGGCGGAATGTTGGCCGAGAAGGTTCGCCCCTACACCTGGAGCAATACGGGTCGTCATAGATTCTGCGTGTTTCTTTCACCTTTTCTCTTCAGCTTGCAGTTTTCGCTATACAGAGAACATCCACAGATGTTCAGAGCCGACCGAGTTGGGCTTATGACATTAACCCACCCAGTTCAATTTCTTGTGTAGATTTTTATGGGGAATTTTAAAATTAAGCTCTAAGTTTTAAAAGATTTTTTTTGACAATTCTTTTTAATCTATTAAAGTATTTGTTCTATGTTAAGGTCAACCCACTTGAATTGGGATGAGATTTGAACATGTGACCTCCTTTTTAGGAGTGTCACATTCATGGCACATAGTACTTGGCAAGTTT